AGAGGGCGCGCAAGTCAACAAGTGGCGGTGCTGCCATGTGGGGCTCTCGTTTTTTTTAAAGCCGCGGGTCTCAACCTAGAGCGTGGATGCCTGATATCCCGGGGGGGCGGAGTAGTCGGCATGGTCACAGGAGGTTTGGTCGTTATGGGATAAAAGTCAGCAATGAAAGATTTGAACATCGAACGCAGCATAGTATTACAGGGTGACGCCAGTGCGGCCATGTTCATTGCTTGTCGACGACGTCCGGGAACAGATATGCGCATCGAAGTTCGCCAGTTGTGGTTGCAGTATGGAGAAAGTACGGAAAGGAGACATCAAAGTGGTCAATGTGGGTATTCATGAGATGGCGGCATATGCGTCAATGAAATATGTCAGTCAGGATGGGGCGCCTGTGCACATGAGGAGTACACACGCATCATTGAGGGGCGGCGCGACCTAGCACTTGCCACAGGGTGCATGGTAAGCGTCTAACGTTTCAGCGGCCCCGTTTTTTTGTTGAGCTCAAGGTCGGTTGAGACCACGGTGCTCATCTGAACCATCTACTACCAGCGGACGACTGCCGCCAGAGAGAATTCAGTTAACTCACGCAGATGTTCTGGACTACCACATATTCATCTTCTGTCGTGTTCGAATCAGACGGCCACAAGTTTCAGATGTCTCTAACGACTTCTGCAAGACAGCGATGTATGTTTTTGTTTCTGCACTTGGTGGTTATGTTTTGGCTCCGTGGTGTTTAAATTGTTACGTTTGGGCGTTAACTTTCGATTTCCTTCGTAGCCTGTCCTGGCCTTGCTCTGCGCAGCTGCGCGCGCCGTATATCGTGCAGATTTTCGCTCTGGCCCCAGCGCCCTGCAGGTTTGCGCCCGGCTGTTGCAGCCGCGGGGGCGCGAAACTATCCGCCCCCAACCCTTGCAGGACATCGCCCAGAGTGGCCCCGAAGCATTGCGTTTGGCTTGCCGGACACCCGCCGGCGTTTGGCCCAATGTCATCTTTCGTCCCACGCGAGGGCACCAGCGTGGAATGAATTGCCAGATTTCCCATATTGACCAGGAGCGAGGGGTTCACGAGGGTTTGTTTCGTTCGGGGGGCTCGGAGGATCGGTTATTTGACGGCGCCCCACAAGTGGGCGCCTGCGTGGAATTCGCCACCGGACGTCCCCTATCTCATGGAAACGGAACGGGGGCTTCAGAGGGCACCCTTGGGGAGGTTCGGATTGCCGGTTTTCTGGAGACGCCCCGCGCAAGGGCGCCGGATTGGGATTCGTCGCCCGATTTCTTTTATGTCCCCGAAACGGAACAGGGGGCGATTGGCGGGCCCATTCTTTCGCGCGCCGGGGGCAGGATGACGTGAGTTCATAAGACAAGCAATTTCAAATTATTGGGTTCCTCGGGGATCCTCGGTATTGCTTCCTCGCATGATTTTGGCCAGGTTGCATGGTCTTGGTTCTTGGTTTATTTGGGTTTGGTTCCTTGCTGCCGTCCTCGGTTTCTTTGGTCTTGGTTATGTGTTTCATTGTTCGTGGCTTCTTGGTTTCTTGGCGTCGGTTCTTTGTTGCCTCGCCAAGCAACGCCACGCAATGCCCAACGTCAACAAATGCCAAGTACTGACTGCAACGCAGTATGCCAAGCAACGCGCATGTAATAGTCAGCGTTACCTCAATATTGGTCGCTTTTGGTTTATCAACATGTGTCTCCCGCCTTTGAGCCGCGCACATTCGTCTAATGGGGGGGAACGATTCACAAAAATCGCCCCCCACCCCCACCCACCCCACCTCCGGACCCCCCAAGACGATTGAGTGGGGCAGACTAATAGAATTCAGCCGCCGGAAACTGTTATTTTAATCGTCCGCCCCCCGGCGTTTGTTTTTGCCCTTTTGGGGGAAGTGACCTTCTATTATTCCTCCATCGCTCGCTTGATCACCCGCGGCCACGGGTGGAGGGTTGCGGAGGGGGGACGGGGTAATCAGGGAGTAGTTGAGGGAAAGGGTTTTCGAAGGGGCGTTTGATCACCCTCGTCCTTGCGGACGGCTGCCGGTCGTCCTCGCGGACGGCCGCGGCGATTGGGAGGTGGGGGGCGAGGAGGAAATGGAAGAGAAGGAGGGGGGAGGAGGAGGAAGAGAAGAAGGAGGAGGAGAAAAAGGAGGACGGACGAGGAGGAGGAGGAGGAAGACGAGGAGGAAGAGGAGGAGGAGGAGGAGGAGGAGGAAAAGGAGGACGAGGAGGAGGAGGAGGAGGAGGAGGAGGACGAGCTCGCCCTGAAAAGTCACCCCGTCCACCCCCGTGGCCCCCGCGCCGTGGATCGCCACCCCGTGCCCCCCCCCCCCGCTTTCCAGGCAACCCCGAAGTGTCAGCCCCCCGTCTGCCTGCCCTGCGCCCCCGCTAGGCCCGCGAAACCATGTTTTAAATCGTCCGCCCCAAAAAGTTGTTTGAATCGTTTCTCCCCACTACAAGCTTCCAAGCGCGGCGCGGATATAGACTGGCACATGTTCAAATTGGCCTCCCACCTGAGACTTCAGACAAAAACGCATTCGCGCAAACATGTGCAACATCTGCCAGGATGAAGCACGGCACTTGCAAGTATGGGGTGTATGCCTAAAGTTTCACTGCTGTGGCCAGGGTTGCAACACACGCAGCTGGTATACGTATGCAATGCAGGGTGCGTATGTTTGTTTCTAGCGGGGCTGTCGCTGGGCCCTTCTTTGAATTTTGAGAAGTCCCACCTCGTCGCATCGCTTGTGGCCCGTAAGGTGAAGGGCGGTTTTCTTTGGAATGGGATTCCCGCGTGAAATGTGGCCCCGTATCGCGCTTGTCCTTCAGGGGGAGCGTTCCGCGCAACGAAAAAAAATGGCTTGCAGGGGCCACTGAAAATTCTAGACGCGTCGCGTGCCCCCACCAACACATCCAGAAACGATGTCCAGGCGAACTGAGGTGATCAGGGAAGGGCGGGAGCAACGGGGGGACGGTCGAACCGTGCGAAGGAGGGGAAAAAAAAAGGAGGAGGCTGAATGGATGGATGAGGGAGTGGGGGAAAGGAGGATGCATATGAGGAGGAGGAGGGGGAGGAGGGGGAGGAGGAGGAGGACGAAGAGGAGGAGGAGGAGGAGGAAAAGGGAGAGGAGGAAAAAAAAGAGCAGGGGGAGGTAGGAGGAGAAGGAGGAGGAGGGCAAGCAAACGGGCCAGAGGTATCTGTGATGCCTCTCGGAGCCTTTTTGGGGTATCTCTTGGGCGTTTCCTGGTGGCCTCTTGTGACGTCTTGGGGGATTCTTGACGGTCCTGGGGTGGGGGGCCCTTGGGCGTCGTGGGTGCCTCGGGGGGGCATATTGGGACCGCTTGTGGTCCTCGTGGGGGCCTTTTTGTCGGGGGCCTCTTGGATCCATCTTGGGGCCATTTGGGGGACTTTTGGGGCCTCCTGGACGTTTCGCGGGGCCATATCGGAGGACTTCGATCAGCGAAAAGGGGAGTTCAAGCCCAGTTCCCGAAGAGGCAGAAGTGGGGCGAAAACCAAGGAAACATCAATGATGTTGGTTTCCTCGCCGAGGTCGTGTTGGACGCTCCACAGGGTCGCGGCACCGCCCGTCCAGGTCCATGGGAGGGGTAGGGGAAAAGGGCAAACCAGTCCCCGAAGGGGAAGAAGGCGGGTGGAAGAGAAAACTTCCTAAACCACTCACGCCCGGAGGGCTTGTGGGATTATACTTGGGACGGGGGAGGCGTTCGGTCCCTCTGGTGCATCCCCCTCCTAGTCCTCCTTGTTCCTCTCTCCGCGCTCCAGGGGAAAGGGGGGGGAGGCCGCCCACGCACTTTTGGAAGTTGGGCGATGAGGGAGGCAACGCGATAATTGTTGCGAGGGCGACGGGGGTTCCTCCTCCTCGTTCCCTCCTTTCCCCCTCCGCCCCCTCATCCTCATCCTCCTGCTCCTGCTCGTCTTCCTCCTCCCAGTCCCAGGCCTCGCCCTCCTCACGCCGTCAGGCCAGTTCGGTTTTCATGTGCAGTGCTTCGGCGGCCGAGCCGTGCAGCCTTGGGCGCCCGCTGGCACCACGCGGTGATGCGGTGTACCGCCGATGATCCCATGCGGGTTGAGGCATGACCTCTCCCCGCCCACTCCTGGGGGCGACCGCTGCAATGGCGTGAGCCAGGAGGTTCCTCCACCCCCTCCCTTTCGCACCGTGACAAAGGGAAAACGGCTCGGTCCTTGGGTTCAAAAGCCCAGTGGTGGACGCTGTGCGCATCCTTTTTCCGGAGAGCGGTTCGCCCTCCCCCCTGTCCAACCCCCGCACCAGGTCTTCGTAGCCAGGTTCGGGCCCTGGCAGGTTGAATTTTCGCCCCAGCACAATGTCATTCGCCCCTTTGGGGAGTTGCGACCTGCGCTGGGGTCTCAAGGGCAGATGTGCTAGCGGGGTTCGGGCGCTGGTCAATGTTCCGTTTCTCGTGTGTGTGTGTGTGTGTTGTGTGTTGTGTGTTGTGTGTTGTGTGTTGTTTGTTGTGTGTTGTGTGTTGTGTGTTGTGTGTTGTGTGTGTGTGTGTGCGTGCGTGCGTGCGTGCGTGCGTGCGTGCGTGCGTGCGTGCGTGCGTGCGTGCGTGCGTGCGGTGGGTGGGTGGGTGGGTGGGTGGGTGGGTGTGTGTTGTGTGTGTGCGTGTGGGGGGTGGGTTGCCGTTTGTCTTAGCGGGATTTCCCCAAAGCGCCTTCGGGGCGCGGTGCTTCCGTCGGCGCGACCAGGCGCTAGTCTGCTGAAGGGGGTCGGAGGTCGGTCTCCGCTTGTGCCCGCGACCCCATCGTGCACGAGCGCCCCCGCGCTGGTGCGCGCCGTTGATGCGGAAGTGGGTATGCGCCTCGGTTGAGGCCGTAACCGCAATATGCCTTTCGGGGCCGCTGAATCTTCGCCCTCCTCAATCCCCCCCCGCGACGCGCCCTCCCGCCGCGCCCGCCCCGCAGCCCTTTGTCCTCCCACCGGGCCCCCGTCCGCAGCCCTGCCCCCGCATCGCCCGCCGCGCGCGCGGGCGCAGGCAGCCTCCCGCCCCCAGGGCGGCGGCGGAGGAACGCCCGCCGCCGCTCCCTGGAGGGGGCGCCACCGCGCCGTGCCCTCCCAGACCCACGCCGCTACCCCGCCCCACGTGGCGTTCGCTCCTGGGATGGAGGAGAAAGAGGAGAAGGAGGAGGATGATGAAACAGAAACAAGCGACAACCCATTATTCATCAACGATGTTGCAATACACCTTCCCTTCCAAGCCTCCAAGTTCCCTGTTCCCACAGGTTGCTTCAAGGGTTCGTCATTTTCGGAGAGGTAGGTGCCCCATTGGAAGACAACCGTTTGAACATCTTGGAACCTCAACGCCGCGAATCAACATTCTTGTCGCGTTCTGATGATCGCGAATCGCGCCTGAGCACCATTCCGGGGATTCCTACACTGCGAATTATCGTGATCGTTGCGGCTGGACGATCCCGAACCATGCCAAATCACAATGTCTTCGATGCCAACCGTAAGAATACATGACATTGTTGCGAACACTGAAGACGAATTTGCGTGGCGCTACGGCGAGAGCCACATAGTGAAAAGGAACCGTTCTCCATCCGTGAAACTGCTGTAATTCTTTAGGACGAATGTGCGCGGCGCGAGGGGAAGAACCACAGTTTGAAAACGGCCCGCGCTCCACCCGTGAAACTGTTGCAACGTTGAATCGTAAGAATGAGATGTTGTGAGGAAGTCTCGAACCAAATGCCCGGCCCGCCCTACCGACACGTATCGGGGTGCGACAGGGAAGAGTTCATCATAAGGTAAAGTGACGCAGGATGCAGGATGATGAAGAGAAGGACGAAGAGGAGGTGGTGTCATGGAGTGAGGAGAGGGGGAGGGCGGGGGGGAACAGGGATCGGGAGTCAAAGGGGACATGATTTTTTTCTTTGTCCCGTTGGGATTGTCCGTGCACTCCGTTGGGATCGTCTGTCTTTGAACAGGCTGCTGTTGTCTGTCTCTTAAGAGGCCGCTTAAGTGGTGATGAGCGATGCTGGTGCTGATGATTCTGATACTGATAACGATGCTGATACTGATGCTGATACTGCTGCTGACGACGATGGTGATAAGGAAGGGAAGGGAGGTGATTATGATGATGATGATGATGATGATGATGATGATGCCGATGCTGATGATAATGACGATGATGATGATGGCGATGATGACGACGCATTTGATTTCGATCATAGTGCTGATTTGATATGGTAATACTGGTGTTGACGATGGTGATGATGGTGATGGTGCAGATGCAGATTATGAACATGATGATGATCGTGGCAATGATGACGATCCTGATAATGATGCTGAAGATGATGCTGCCGATGATGATGTTGATGTTGATGCTGGGGTTATTAATGATATTGTCGTTGAAGCTGAGTATGGTGATGATGGTGATGCTGATGCGGATGATTGTGTTGATGATGATACTGATGATGATGAGGATGAACATGATTCTGATGATGAGGAGGAGGAGGATAATCGACGAGGAGGATGCAAGTTATTACTGCAAGTAGTGATCATAGTGATGTTGATCAAGATGACAATGACAAGTGGGATGCAGAGGGTCCGTAATGATGATGCTGATGGTGATGTTGATGCTGATGGTATGGATGCTGATGCTGCTGATGGCGATGTTGATGCTGATTAAGTTGATGATGCTGATGTTGATGAGGATGAGGATGATGGTGGTGGTGGTGGTGATTATGATGATGCCGATTCGTATTACTAGCGTTGTTATAGTCCGAGTTTGCTAGATGGTTTTCGGAATGCCAGTTGTCTCATCCAGCCTCGTCTTGGTCATGATCTGTTATAGTTTGGCTCAAAATCGCCTGGCGGCGATCAGGGTGGCACCACGACGGGCGACACTAAGCTGAGTCCGTGCTCGCGATCCGCCCTCCTCGTCGGCTCAGTCGCGCTTCTCTGGAGCCAGGGGACCTGGTGGGGCGCTGCCCGCTTCGGGCCCGAGGTCGCCGAGGCATTGTGCCTGGCGGGGGCCCGCGGCGTCTCAGCGCTGGCGGGCGCTGCAGGCCCTGGGCAGCCTCGTCAGCTCCTTGGCGGCTCTCGCGTGGGAGCATCGCGAGGAGGCTGGTCGGGCCGCTGGACGGGCGGCGTGGAGGGCCGCTGGATAGGCGGCAGGCGCGTGCTGGGGCTGCTGCACAGGACTCGTCGGGAGGCTGCGTGGGTGCCGCGCGGCTCGGCGAGCCAAGAGCGAGCGACGTCGCGAGCTCGCAGCTGCTTCAACCGTTCTAGCGTACGCATTGGTGGAGATGGCGCTGGCGGGCGGCGTGGCCATGGGCGCAGCCGCGCCGTGCTGGGTGCTGGTCACCCGCCCAGGCAAGTGGGACGAGGATCTGATCTTCGACCATGCGACGGGGAAGGACTGCAGCCTCGGTCTGACCACCGAAAATGCGGGGACCTCCTTCGCGCGGGTGCTGGTGAGGCTGTTGCCTGGGCAGTTTCGGGCCGCAGTGGTGCTTGGCGGTGGGGTGCCTCGTGCGCCTCCGCTCGGCGTCGCTTTCGGCTCGGTCAACTGGGTCTGCGAGCCGCCCCATGCAGCCAGGCAGTTTGGACCCGAGCGCGGCGGAGCTCGCCGCGCTGCGCCTGGAGGCTCAGGGCGTTGACGTGGCCCCGTCGACCATGGCGCTGCCTGCGGGCGTCGCGACGGACGTGGGGTCGCAGCAGCGTGCGCCGGCGGCCTTCATGCCCGTGGGGGGGCCGCTGCCGCCGCCAGGGCCTGGCGCCCTGGTCGCCGCGCCGCCGCCGGGGGCGGCCGCGGTGGCTGCGGTTCCGCCCGGGGCCGCGGGCGCGGCGCCAGGCGCGGGCGCGGCGGCGCCCGCGGCTGCCGCGGGCCTGGGCTTCGCGGCGGCGGGCGTGCCCGACGCAGCGGCGGGGGCGGCGGCAGCAGCGCTGCTGGGCTTGGCCACTGCACAGCAGAGGTGCGAGCCACGTAGAGCCAGCTCTTACGGACGCGGCGGGCAAGAAGAAGAACAAGTGCAAAAAGGGCGAGAAAATGAAACATATTAGTAACAATAATACTATTAATACGCAGAAAAATAGTAATAATAATAAGAAGAATAAGATACATAAGTCCGATTCCAGCGACGCGTCCAGCAGCAGCGGGGGCAGCTCGCCCAGCAGCAGCGAGTGCCTGTAGTGGGCCCAAGGCGACGAGTCGGCGCGTGGACCCCACCCAGGAGCGAAGGCTGGAGACCGAGAAGTGCAAGGCCAAGGGCGACGTGCTTGCGTTCGCGGCGAAGCACCCAGGCGCCCTGTCGGCTTACTTCGCAAGCTGAGCCGCGGGCGTTTGACGGAGACGAAGCAGCTGCGCCAGGCGTCGGTGACGACTCGGGCGCTGGTGCACTCGGGCCTCGCTGGGTTGCGGGGTCAGCGCGAGGTGCAGGCGCTAGCGCCGGTGATGGGCCTGATCAACACCCGGCTCCTGGCCACCGCCATGGGCGCGCTGGCGCAGCGTATCATCGCCATCCAGCGGGCCAAGTCCAGTCCAAGGGCGGCCCCTGGGATCCTGGGAGAAGGCCGAGGCCGTGGAGCTGCTGAGGGGAACGGGGGGAGGAGTCGCCGCAGGCGGGCTCCTCAAGCTTACCATGTGACAAGGTGGCGGAGGGCGCGGCAGAGGTGGCTGCGCCGCGGAGGCCAGGGGTACTCTCTTGCCTCCGTCGTGGTCGGTCTGGGTGACTTGCTATGCTTCGCGGGCGGCCCGCTGGGGGCGCCTCTTCGTCGGGGTCACCTCGGGCGGCCTCGAGCGGTGGAGTTCGGCCGATCTTCGCCGGTCATCTTCCCAGTCCCGTTGCTCCGACGTCGCGGCGTCGAGCTCGGAAGGTTCGGGCGCAGGCGCAGGGGCGCAGTTCTGGTCTGGGGCAGCATGTGCATCGCTGGCATCAACGACCTGCACTGGGCCGTCAGCGACTGCATCAGCGATCCTACGCAAGCTCAGCGACGTGTGCAAAGGCGCATACTGATGGGCGTCTACCGCTTCCTCGAGGCTGAGTTGGCTTGGCCTGAGGCGGCTACAACTCAAGGGTTCCTGCGCCGCAGCGACGGCTACGAGCCGCTGCAGCGCGTGGCGGAGCCCCTGGGCGAGCGCGGAAGAGTTCCCGACCATGCCGCCTCAGTCGACTTGGCGGGCCTGCTGGGCGAGCACTTCCGCGGGCTTGCAGACCAGGTTCGCCGCCCGCGTTCGCTGCCGTTGGAAGTGGGCCAGAGGCCTGCCAGGCTTAAGAGACCTCGCGCGCTGGCGGGGCCCACCGACCCTCGCCGCGTCGCTCGCCGCGCGGCCGCGGGCCTCCAGGGGCACGGCTCCAATGAGAGGGTGCGCAAGCATCGCGGCGCGCCCCTCGTCGCTGGAGCCTGCGGCGTGAGGGGGGGCGACATGGGGCAGCGGATGATCTCGGATCTGCCGGTGAACCAGCTGCTAGATGCTAGGCCCCGCTGCTCCCCCTCGCCCGACTTTTGCATGCCCTCCGAGGCTGCGCGTGGCCACGGCGCAACCTGGCACGCGGGTCAAGCTGCGGAAGCGCGACGTGCGGCACTACTTCCTCCAGTTGGCGATCGGCAAGGGCTGGCGCGAGCGCGCGGCTCACCCGCCCATCCCTGACCCTTTCGGGAGGGGGGGGGGGGGGGGCTCAGAGATCCACCCCTTCCACAGCGCCACGCCCGCGGGTTTCGCACCGTCGGCGGGCTGGGCGCAGGCGGCTTCAGACACCGCCCCCCCCAAGGCCGAGCTGCCTCAGGACCGCGGGGTGGCCTTCGACAAGCCCTGCCCGACTGAGCTGCCGATCTGGGGGCCCATCGTTGATGATTTGTGGGCCCTGGGCGAGGGCTCGGCTGGGGACCGAGCTAAAAGTTCGGCGGCCTTCTGGATGACCAAGGCCGAGCGCGCCCGGGGCCGCATGGGCACCCCCGCGCATCATGGGGAGTCTGTGGACGGTGGCCAGGGCGAGTTCCAGGGGACTGAGGCGCACCCCACTCAGCATTGGCCAGGCGCGGCGCGTCGGCGGCGCGTGGACCTCTTCGCCGTCGCCCTCAGCCCCCTGTGCCAGCAAATGGTCTACCGCCAGGACGCGGAGCGCCTGGGGGGCAAGCGCGGCTTCTGCCCGAGCTTCCGCCCCTGCCTTCGCTCGGCCCTGTCCTACGTGCACGCGTGGCTGGAGAGCCTGCCGCTGAGTGGCCGCAAGCCTGTGGCCTGGTGCCCGCTGGCATGGCACTAGCCGCTGCTGTCGGCGATCCCCCTGCCTTTCGCGGAGCAGGACCTCGACGCCGAGTGGTGTGCCCGCGTCGAGTGCACCGACGCTTCCCCTGGCGGGCACGGCAGGGCCGGGGCCTCGAAACCTGAGGGGTCGGCGCGGCACATCGCGCAGCGGGCTGACCATCGGACACCCTGCATCATGCGGGGCGACGGCTTCGGGATCGACGCGGATGCCGAGGGGCGCTGCAGCCGTGCCCGGATGGCGCTGCCGCCCGCCTGCATCGGCCCGCTGAGCTGGGGCGTTGAGTGCGGCGCGCTGGCGGCAGCGCGCCTTGCGAGGGCGCCTTCGTCGAGGGCCGCCGCGCCAGCCGCGAGCTCAAGCGTCGGCGCCGCCGTGGCGCGGCCATCGACGTGGCCGGCGGGCTCTCGCACTCCCGTTTCTGGGCCTCCACGCGGCAGAACCCAGCCGACGAGCCCAGGGGCTGGCACGGGGCGCGCGCCGCGGGCGAAGGAGGGCAGTTGCCGCAGCCCTTGCCCCGCCTGGAGGCGGCGCCCTCCGCGCCCACGGGCTGGGGCAGTCGGGGGGCCATCTTCCTGCACCTCTGCTCGGGGCCCAAGCGCGAGGGCGACCTCTTGTGACGTGATCGAGCAGGAAGCGCGGGAGGCGGGCCTCTTGGCGACGGCGTTGGCCTGCGACCTCGCGATCGATGCCAGCCGCGACCTCGCGCGCGCCCGCCTCGGGCAGGAGCTGAGGGGGCCGTGCAGCAGTGGCGACGCGCGCGGGGTCTTCGCTGGACCGCCCTGTTCGACGGTCAGCCGCGCTGGGCACCGCCCGCTTGCTTGGCGTCGAGGTCCGAGACCTCTGCGCTCTAGACGCGAGCCTTCCTTGCCCTTGCTAGGACTGGCGGACTCCGAGCGCCGAGCTTGCGCGCTGGGAAAGCATCGGGGCGCGGGCTGGTCAGGAACATCCCCGGGGCCCTCGTCGTCGCCCGTGCCTTTCGTACTAGTGCTCTCGGGAGGTAACGGGGTGGATCGCAAAGTTCGGGCTTCGCGTCGTCCCGCCCGGTCAGTGTCGACGCGGGGCCGTCTCGCAGAAGCCGGCGTTCATCGTCGCGAACGATACCCGGGAGGGGCAGCGTCCTCGGGTTCCGCTGCAATCGCCGACATCAGCGCAAGAGAGTTTACGGGCTGGCACGGGAGGGGGGCTCGTCACCGGACAACTTGCTCGGTATCCTCCGCAGCTGTGCCGGGCTCTTGCCCGCATGGCAGTCGGCGCCTTCGCAGAGACCCGAGAGCGGCCGCGGCATGGCCGAGGATCTTGGCGGGCGCCGCGGGCGCATCATTACCTCCTTGCCGAGCGCGCTGAAGCCAGCGGCCCTCGCCGCGCCAGCTCTGGCCTGGAGGAGATGGGCCTTGGCGCCGAGCGGCTCACCGAGGAGGGGCTCGACTGGTTCCTCGCCGAGCGTGTGGTAGACCTGTTCGAGGTGTCTGGCGGCGTCGAGGGCCTGGGGGCTGCCGCCGCGCTGTCGGCGTCGCTCGCAAAGGCGAATCCTCGAGGCCACTGTCGCACGGCGCGGAAGGCGCTGGGCGCGCGGCGCACTCGGCGGCCGCCCTTGCGGGCGCCTGCCCTGCCAGCCGTGCTTGCCTTCGGGGCCGTGAATAGGCTGAATAGGCTGGCCCTGGCCGGGGAGTTCAGCTGCGCCGCCGCCGTCATGTTCTGTTTCGCCGGCCTGCTGCGGGCGTCAGATGCGATGGCGCTGGACGGCAGAGCCCGGGCGAGGACCGCCACTGGTTCCGCGGCGCTGCTTGGCCGCGCGAAGCGCGGGTCAAAGCATAATGAATTTCTCGTTCGAAGAGCCGCCTGTCGTCGCCTGGTTTGATTGGCCACTATTGTCCGCGCTTTCCTGCGAGGGCAGAGGGGAAGGTTGGCGCTGTTTCCCGCCCGCTGGAGCCGTGCACTGGACGACCCACGGGCTGCGCCGTGGCGGAGCCACCGAGCTGCTGGCCCGCGGCGCGCCGCTCGCAGACATGGCGCGGTTCGGCCGATGGCTCTCGGGGAGGTCCGCTCGTGAGTATCTGAGGCGCGGGGAGGTGGGCCTCACTCGATTACGCGTGGATATTTCTGCAGACGCCTGGTCTCCTGCATGCAGATATTGTGCAGTTGGGTCCCAAGTTTGGGGTGTGACTCATTGCTGAATGTGGTATTTGTCATGTATGACCAAGTTTGGAGCTCTCGCTAGATTGGGGAGCGTGGCGAGGCAATGGCCTGCGCGGGCAAGATCTCGAGTTGCCGTGACGTCTCGATTCCCTTTGAATGAAGTGTACTTCTTTTTTATTGTACGCTTCGCGTGCTGCCTCGCCTGGTAAGGGTTGGAGAGTAGGACGCACGTGACATTCTTAAATCGTCGGAGCTTGCTAGATGGTTTTCGGAATGCCAGATGCCTCATCCCTCTTCGTCTCGAATGTAGCGTGATCGAATTGCGTTGTCATGATCTGTTATAGTTTGGCCCCGCTGCGCTCCCACCCACCCGTGGTGGTCCGATACTATTCAGTGGAGTGCGCAGGGCCACTGCATGTGCTCCTGACGACGAGGCATTGGCCTGCGCGGGCAATTGGCGAATTGTTGTGGCGTCCCGATTCCCTTTGAAGGAGGTGTGATGCTTTAGTATTGTACGCTTCGCGTGGTGCCTCCGCTGATAAGGGTCGGAGAGTAGGATGTAGGTGACATTCTCAAACTGATATTATCTGTGTGCTGATGCTGCTGCCGATGATGGTGATGCTGATGCTGTCCACGATGATGGTCGGCCCTTCCCTCGTCCTGTGGCCCCTCCCTCTCTCCCTTTTCCCCTCCCATCCCTCCCTCTTTCGTCGCCCTCCTTCCTTCGTCACGTCGTCCCATTCCCCTGGGGAGGAGGAGGAGGTGGAGGAGGAGGAGGAGGAGGATCACTGACCAACCTGCCAGGTCAGCGAGCGGGCCGCCATTGAACAGTCCCTCGGATCCGAGGAGAAATTGCCAATGGGGGACATTCGCTGCCTGGGGCCAGCCCCAATTCGCAGCTTGTTGCTGCGGGGTGCTAACAAGGGCATGCCCTGGCTAGCAACCCAAACGAGAGAGGCTATGCCGGGGGTGGCGCCCTGCACCGGGCAATGCCGTTTTTTTCTGCGTGCGTTTGACGGGCGGGACAGAAGGCGTGGAGCTCGCAACGAGGGGGGGGAGAGGAGGTGTAGAAGCAGGAGGAAAAAAGTTGGAGCCAGGGTGGGATAAGCTCCGGACACATGCCGTTTGCCCAGCCCCACCCGCTCCCCCTGCCCAGCCCCCCGTCTGCCTCCCAATTGTCGGCTAGCGCCCGCCCTGGGCGGGGGCAGGGGACCCCGGGAACATGGCGGGGGACCGCTGGAGCATGTCGCCACGGGTAGGAGGAGGAGAAGGAGGAGGAGGAGGAGGAGCAGGCAGGCAGGCAGGCAGGCAGGCAGGCAGGCAGGCAGGCAGGCAGGCAGCCTCAGCAGATATGAGTTCCGCTGATGTGCGACCGATGCGGCCTCGGCCTCAAACTCCTCGTTGCTTTGCTGGGCTCGGTTCGGAGCGCCTCGGACCTCGCGTGCGGTGCCGAAGCGTGGGTTCTGCCCGACGCCCAGGGTTCCCTGGGGCCTCGTCCTTGGGAAACGCAGCATCTGAAGACTCTCGTGTCTCAACCTTGCAATCGGGTTTGGAGTGAGAAACGGAGGAAGATCAGGAGGAGGAGGAGGAGGAGGAAGAGGCGGAGGCCATCCGACGGCCCACGCAAGAACCTACCGGCCATTGAAGGCCGAAATTGAAACAACAAGTCAGTCGATTTTTCCTGCTCCTCCTCCCTTCTCCCCCTCCTCCCTCCATCCCTCATTCCTTCCCTCCCCCCCCCCCGCCCCATCCCTCCTCCGCCCTTCGGCTTCCCCCCAGCCCCCTCCCCTGCCCCTTCCCCTCTCCTCCCTCCCGCGCCACTGCCGCCCGCCACGCCGCGGCTCGGCGTGCCCCCAGGAGGGCGGCGATACTAGCAGCAACTGGATGAACTGGCGCCGCGCCCCTCCTGCACTCCTCATCGTCCTCCTCCTCCTGCTCCTCCTCCTCCTTCTCCTCCTCCTCCCCCACCCCCCTCATCACCACCACCACCACCATCACCATCATCTTCACACATCTTCACGCGAACGCGCAATCGCACGCGAGAATATGTCAGCAGCGTGGCTGCACAGTCCGAATAATCTCATGCAGTGGTCGTGTTCTGGCTGGCACATATTAGCTGAGGCGAGGCGGCAGAGATGTTAGACGAATCGGGGTCTTTGAATAATGCCCTGCATGCCACGAGGACTCCCGTAGCCTCATCTGAAGCGCGCGCCAGAAATACGAGGGTAGGGACTACCTTGGCCGAGCGCGGTTTGACAACCAAGTCGTATGTTGACCAGTTGTCGTTGCATTTCGGCGTGCCTCAGAATGACGACAGTCGCGAACGGATCGATGTTGAGGCCACCAGCACCGACAAATCGTTGTTGGACGTTGCGATGAAGGAAGCGGAGGCTGCTTTGGCGCAAGAGTTGCGCAAATATGCTGGCAGCTTTGCGAAATTGGCGCGTGCGAAATGGCCAAAGGGCGCAAGCTTACTGGAACCGGTAGCGCTCCTCTGGATGGGTGTACCCCCTGGCTCCATGCCCGCGGTATATATATATATATATATATATATATATATATATATATATATATATTGGTGTGTGCATGTTACTCGGAGGGCGAGGCTGGTGGATTGTTGTGGAAGTTGGAGAACACGCACTCGTGGAACGGAGCAGACGATAAATTTGAAGTAGGAGAGCCCGCTCACATGTACAGGAACGTTCACCCTTTACTATGACACGACAGGCTTCTCGGCAGCTGGTGTAGATTCCTTCCTCGCGGCCATGCCTGAATGGCCATTGTCAGCAGGCGCTGAGACGAAACGTTGCTAGGCGAGAAGGGCGGATATGATCGTCCGATTGTCGCACGCATCTTGCCACGATTTCCTGAACTAATCGCATGCCCTGGATAATAAAGTATCCCCCCTTAAGACCTGAGTGTTGATTCTCCCCGGTCTAGGCACTTTTGGTCGGCGGCGGGGAGCGGCGGGGCCGAAGTTCATTATCACCGGGGAAAGTACGAATCGTATGTTGGATTTTGTCATTAATCATCAGTCTTGCCATTTGTGTGAGGATGTCTTAGGCGAAACGCGCAGTTTCGGAGATTCACCGAGTTCGCAACTTCTCAGCATCCTCCTCAACACCCTCTTCCCCCGGGAACAAATCATCATCCGCCCTGGACCCCGATGTTTGTTATCCCCACCCTGTGAATCTCAGGGGCACAGGGTCATCTCATGGCCTTCGGCCCATCCCGCCACAGTGCCTGAGCTGTGGTGATGAAGCTTATTGGATGTTCGTTAGAATCACGTGAGAGGCCTCTCGGGGGCCGCTTGGAGGCAGTTTAGATGCATCTTGGGGGCCGTTTTGGGGCCTCTTGGGGCGTCTTGGGGGCCTCTTGGGGGCCTCTTGGGGCCTCCTGGACGCCAGTCTGGGCCTCCTGGGGGCCTCTTGGGACGAAAGGCTGGGGGTTTGGGCTCGTGTTCCCTCTTTGGGGCCCCTTTTGGGGCCGTCTTGAGGACCTCTTGGGCGCCTTTGGGGCCGCCTTGGGGTATGCTTTGTGCCGTTTTGGGGGGCGTCTTGGGCCGTCTTGGGCGGTCCTGGGGACCTCTTGGGCCAACGGGTAGGCCAAACACATTGACTTACCTACGAGCCTCGATGATGTTGCCCTCTTGGGGCCTTCTTGGAGACGTCTTGGAGGCCTCTTGGAGCGTCTTGGAGGCCTCTTGGGCCGTTTGGGGGCCATCTTGGGCATCGTGGGCCGATGGTTCGGCGACTCGGGGCCCTCCAGGGCCGTCATCGGGGCCTCTTGGGGCCCCCCTTGGCCCGTCTCTGGGCCTTTGAAAGTCGTTCGCCACCACTTGACAAAGCTTCGGAATTTTGAGTCCGTGCCCTTTAAAGACACCTCAGGACTGAGCACTGAAGCTCCAGGGATTAGGCAAAATACGTGAGGAAAAAACACTTCTTGCTCAGAAGCACGGTGGCGGATAGCAGATCTCAGAAGCCAGGAGGAGGACGACGAGAAGGAGTAGAGGATGGAGAAGGGGGGTGGGGGGGGGGAAGGAGGAAAGGAGGAAAGGGGGAGGAGGAGGAGGAGGACGACGAGGAGGACAAGGGGGGGAGAGATGCAAACAGGGGGAGGGAGGAGTGGCGAATGAGGGAGTGCGGGCCAAGGGAGGCGGAGGAAGAGGAGGACTGTGGGGCGGGAGGGAGGGGGAAGTAGGGCGGGAGGCAGGAGGAACCTCCGTCGCCGTCACAGCAATTCTAGTGCCGCTTCACCCTGTCGCCAAACCTCTGCAAGGGCGTGGACGGCCTCCCCCGCAAGCGCGTAGAGAGGAAGGAGGACGAGGAAGAAGGAAGGGAGGGAGGGGGGAGACGGAGGAAAGCCAGAAGGGAGGAGGAGGAGGAAGAGGAGAAGGACGAGGAGGGAGGAGAAGGACGAGGAGGAAGAGGACCACAATGAATCCAGATGCATCAACACATGCTGCAGTACACCCTCCCGTCCCAAGTACTCGCACGGAGGCCCTGGAAGACTTCTTCATTGCGCGAAGCGCCCCCGTGAGAGACGAGCGCCCCGCGGGCCCACACGTGGGGCGGGAGCTGCAGTTTGAAAGACGGCGTCCTCCATCCCTCGAGCCGTACGGAACAGGACGAGGTGGCACGTCTCGAGGTCCGAGGAAGTAACCCTCACCACCCACCAAACCCCCCCAACCCAATCCGAAGGATCAGATTTACCCTCGATTTCCAGTGGGGGGGTCGGGAAACATCGAAAAACACATGTGGAACCCTTGCCCCCCCCAACCCGAAATTCGGGTCTTCGGGTTGGGCTGGGGTGGTCTGGTAGGTAGTTAAACCCAGCGAATGCCACGCTTTAAAAAAGGAGCCGGCCTCCGTCCGTGTAGGCCAGGCTTCCTAACAAGGTTGGGGCGAGAGCCCCGTTCTGCAAAGGAACCGCCCTCCATCCCCAGAAGCACAGCTGCGATATTGTAGTGGCCTCCGGCCAGTGCCGCCGATCGGGGGCGCTCCGGATGATGATGATGATGATGATGATGATGATGATGATGATGATGATGCTGATGCTGATGCTGATGCTGATGCTGATGCTGATGCTGATGCTTATGCGTATGCTTATACTTATGCTGATGATGATGATGATGATGGTGACGATGATGGTGATGGTGACGGTGACGGTGACGGTGACGGTGACGGACGGTGACGGTGATGGTGATGGTGATGGTGGTGATGGTGATGGTGATGGTGATGGTGATGGTGATGGTGATGGTGATTGTGATGATGATGGTGATGTGATGATGATGATGATGATGATGATGATGATGATGATGATGATGATGATGATGATGATGATGATGATGATGATGATGATGATGATGATGATGATGATGGTGATCTGACGATGGTGATGGTGATGGTGATGGAGATGGTGATGGTCTCGGCCCCCCCACCCACCTCCCCTCCTCTCTCCTGTCCCCCCTTCCCTCTCCCCATGTCCCCCCCCCCTCTCTCCTTTCCCCCCCCTTTCTCCTGTCCCCCCCTCCCCGCCTCTCTCCTGTCCACCCCTCCCTCCTTTCCCCCCCCCCTCTCTCTCCTGTCCCCCCCCCCTTTCTCCTGGGGGCTGGCAGGGGGGGGGAGGTGCCGAGCACTGAATTCGTCAGTTAATTACGTCCCCCCCCCCTCCCCCCTCCCAAGCAGAGCTAAAGCTCATGCTGAAGCAGAGCTCCAGCTTAGACTTCTTAAACTCACACGCCGGATCGGCGGACTTGTGGCCATGCCTGGCGAGGGAATTTCAGGCGGGAGCCCCATTTGAAGGCGCACCTGCCTCCACCCGTGCAACGGTTGCACGTTCTCTTACGGAGAATGTGCACGGCGTAATGCGAGAGTTACATTGTGAGCACGACTGGCCCTCCATCTGTGCAGTTGTTGGAGTTCCCTTAGTGTCTGAATCTACAAGTGTCAGGAAGTCTCGAGCGAAACGACCGGCCCGGCCTACAGACAGATCTGGTGGCGCGAGGGGGGGGCACGAGCGGCTCGGCAGGTTTCCGAAGATCGGTGTCTTTGGTATCGCCCTCGTCATCGTGGTGATGTGGAACGTGCGGAAGGCCCTGGAATCTTGCCAGCCGCTTGCGGAAGGGGAAGCGGGGAGGGGAAGGACAGGGAGGGAAGAGGAGGGGAGAAGAACGAAAGGGGAAGGGAAGGGCAGGGGAAGGGAGAGAAATCGGGGGCCAGGGGTGAGGGGAGATAGAGAGGCCCCACCCTCTTTCCTCCCTCATCCTCTCATCCCCTCTGTCATTCGTACTCCCGCCCCCCCTTCCCCTTCCTCTGGGCTCCCGTCCCCCCTTCCTCGCAGCCGACGGGCCAATCCCTCGGGAAGCGAGGACGAGCCAGAACCAAATGATATGCTCCCCGTGTGCATGTGTGTGCCTCGAGAGACGTCCACGGATAGTTTCGGATTGTGTTGCGAAGGCCTTACGGTTTGTTCCGCTGACCTTGAGTAGAGAATTTATTCGGCGAGGGGCAGTGGCGGCTTTCTGTTGCGAGGGCGAAAATCGAATGGCTTCCGACCCATTCCGTCATTGCTCGTGGGAGCTCGTGAGGGGTGTTCGTGAGGGCAATTGTTCAGTCGTTTCGCCCAGTCCGCCGGCCCATACTGCCTTATCTCTGCCGTTTGGCTGAGGGATCGTTGTCAACGCGGCGCTGCTGGGGTTTCATGGGGTTTCTTGGCAGGCGGCTCGGAGGTTTTTGTAGGCAGAGGAGGATGTTCGAGGACTGCAGTCTGAGAGAGAGGTGCAGCGTAGAGGGAGAGGAGGTGGCGGGGGAGGCTGGGGACAGGGGACGGAATGGTAATTGAGGAGAAGAAGTGAGGGAAAAGGGAAAGTGAGGGCCAGGGCTTGGAGAGCAGGGCGTTCCTGCTCGTGGCAGAAACGGCAATGCAGACATCGAGGAATGATGTGCGAAAACGTCGCGAAAGATGGAGGGAATGTCGGAATGGATGAGGATGCGGATGACGACGACGACGACGACGACGACGATGATGATGATGATGATGACGATGATGGTGATGATGATGGTGATGATGATGTTGATGATGATGTTGATGTTGATGTTGTGGCTTATGCTGATGCTGATGCTGTTGATGCTGATGCTGATGGTGATGCTGGTGCTGATGATGCTGATGTTGAGTTTGATGTTGATGATGGTGTTGATGTTGCTGTTGATATAGGGGTTGATGCTGATGATGATGGTGATGTTGATAAAGCTGATGATGATGGTGATGGTGCCGATGCTGATGATGGTGATGGTGATTGTGCTGCTGATGATGATGACGACGATGATGATAATGCTGATGATGATGATGGTGGTGATGATGATGCTGACGATGATGAGATGATGGTGATGAGGATGACGATGCTGATGATGATGATCATGATCATGATGATGGTGATGGTGATGATGATGATGGTAATGATGATGATGATGATGATGATGATGATGATGATGATGATGATGGTGGTGGTGGTGGTGGTGGTGGTGGTGGTGGTGATGATGAGGAGGAGGAGGAGGAGGAAGTGCCCATGAGCAGAAGAGACAGCAGGGGATGTTTAATTTTCCTGCTGGTGCTGCTGCTGCTGCTGCTCCCCTTCCTCATCCTCCCGCTCCTACCCCCCGTCCTCCCGTTTCTTCTCTTCCTCGTCATCGTCCTCATTTCACTCCTCTTTCTTCTCTTCCTCGTCATCGTCCCGACTTCGTCTTAGGACGACCATCAGTCCCACATTCGAGGGATCGAGAGGTCTGCCCGCGGTTGTCTGGCTCGATCGTCTTAACATCCTCAGGCAATTGAGATGTAGAGCTCGGGCTCTGGATATAGAACTTGGTTGACCTCTTGGGGAGCAGTCCTGAGGCCTCATGGGAGCCATTTGGGGGCCTCCTGTGGCCGCTTGGGGGCCTCTGGGGGGCTCCCTGGTGGCCGCTGAGGGCCTCTTGGGGGCCTGTTGGGGCCTCTTGGGGGCCTGTTGGGGCTTCGTGGGAGCCTCTGAAGGGCGAAGGCTTGAAATATTGTTTCGTGTTCCCCCTCTGGACCCGTTCTTGGGGCGATTGTGGGGCCCCTGGAAGGCTGACTTGGAAGCTTCTTGGGTTGTCTTGACGCCCCCGAGGGCCGTCTGAGAGCCCGCTTGGGGCCCCACTCGGCAGTTTTAGGGCGTCCTTGGAGGCCTCTGAGGCAGTCGTCAAGCGTCGGGAAGTCGCAAAGGCGAGCATTCCAACATCTATCAAACACTAAAGGGAAACCAATATATTTTGCATGCTGGGGTCCGTAGCCATTTTGGCTCAAGAAATTGGGGCTCAAGTTACGCTTGTAGTGCTTATGAGGTCTTCGTTGTCAATGGCATGGTTGGTCGTTGTCGTCACATAGGGGATGGCATCGGCCCTCACGGGGACGTGCGGCACTATCGTTTTGATGGCGACCTTGTTTGCTTCTCCAGTTTGTTGCTCCATCTACAATGGGAGTGACATTATTTCTCCAAGCACCGCAGAGCTTTTTGCTGCTGATGGTTTTAAGATATCAGAACCGCCCGATACTGAAGCGTATAGAGCGTTTCATGCTAAGGTAGCTAAGAAAGTTCATGAACTATTAGCCACTCCATACTCTGTAACAGAAGAGCAAAGACTTCAGGCGTTCCAGAAGTCCGAGTTGTTGTTCCACCTCCGTGTTTCACCTGGCACTTGCATGCTGGGTGATCAATGGTATTGGCAGCGACATTGTTCCAAAGATGAGGAAGCTCGCAGCCAAGGTGTCATAAGCCAACCGCTCCACATCAAGGGTTTCCGCAATCTGGCTCATTTGGTTGAACTCGCGGCAGATGTGATCTGGACTGAGCCAGTGGACGAGGTCATTGCAGGTCATCAAGCAATTGATGGCCCACTGCATGCTCCACCATGGGAATTGCAGGCTTTCGCCGACTTTCTGCTCGACGAGTTGAGGCTCTCACGAGCACATCTGCTTCGGCGATTCGGGGTGTTAGCCGGTATTTGCATGCGTGCGGAGGAATTGTATTTGCAACGACATTGTCTGAAAGACGATGGCGCAAGCGTTGCCGCAGATGAGTTCCTAGAAGGATTAAGTTCTTTGGAGGTTTTGGATGCTTCTGAGATAGAGGCTTTGGATCTCTCTGGGGAACATACGTCGATTTCACCGCAAGATATGCTGCATTATCTTGAGAACCATATCGATGAAATAAGGATGTCCAAGGGAGATGCTTTCTTTGACAACTAGGTCCCCACGCTCTCCCGATGGCTGCGCGCAGTGATCCCACCAGTCAGTTCCGGCACAGTATTGAACATGGCAGTTTGCTTGAGTGGAGTGATCCAGCACAGAAGTTGCAGTGTAAGCTGAGCCCCGAGATGAGACTGTCATCTGGCAAGTGATGGTTCAAAGAAATGCTTTCACATGCTCTCACATTCGCATAGTTCTGGGCTGTTGTTATTGAGTTTGCACGTCTTTGTAGGCGCGGGGTTGTTAAAAGTTCGCTGCGCGAAGACCGCCGCACTCCAGGTGTTCGGCGCTGGTTGACCGCAGTTTGGAGGCAGGGAAAACAAATGCATGCTGGGGCTCTCTGATGAGAGCCCTTTGGAAGGTTCTCGGGCCGTCGGGAGGCCATCGGGCGCGTCTTGGAGCGATCGTATGGTGCCCTGGACGTTTCTTGGACTATATTGGTGGTCTCTTTGGGGCCTCTTGGGGTCTCCTGGGGGTTTCCTGGGACCGAGGGCGCGATATGTCCGTTCGGGTGCCCCGTCTGGGCTCCCTCTTGGAGCCGTCATCGGGTCCTCTTTGACCGTCTTGGGGCCGTCCAGGATGCCTTTTGAGCTGTTTAGGGTGATCCTGGAGGCCTCCTAGGCCGTCTTTGAGCGTCGGGAAGCCGCAAAGACGAGAACGCCAAAATCTGTCAAAACCCAGGGCCGAGGTTGGCCCCAGCAGGGCTCCAGCGGATTTTCCGTTCGGTGTTGGACTACCCCTGGACAACCCTTCGAGTATGGTTCCTCAGACATGCGGACAGCGGATGCATGTGCGACCTTGCGCTGGCAAGCAAAATGCCAGCAATTGTGTTCGCAGTGCCACCCAGATTGTCTTTCACGATCATCCTCTCATCGTTGTCCCAGGTCCTCGGTTTCCACGTCGTCGTTGCCGCCCTGTCCCATTTTGGCTCAAGACGGAACCCAGGGAGCGCTAGAGACCTCACGTCCTGGCCAGGCTGCCCTGCCTGGCTTGAGACATCCGTCTCTCGCGCGCAGCAAGATTCCGAACTCGACTCTAGTGACAGCTGCCTCGCGCGCATTTGGCAGCGGACGGGATGGCTGCCGTCCCGCCCCAGGCCCCCGCGCCCGCTCTGGGAGGCGCGACGGCAGCGGAGGCGCCAGTCGGGGCCTTGGAGCGCGACCAGCGTCGACGCGTTGCAGACCAGGCAGTGAAGCACGACCCGATCCACGGCGACTCCGCCACGGACGACGGCATGGCCTTCGGTGCGGAGGCGGCTGCGCCTGGAGCAGCCCAGGTTGCTGCTTCAGGCCTTCCCCCGCCACTGCCTGAGGACCCCGCGCAGATGAACTTGGCGAGATACATCATCAGCTCACTGGAGGTCTCAATGGACACGTCCAGAGCATAGAAATCTGGAACTCGGGAATCCCAAACTGCATAATACTTTCAACGACCGAGGGGTACCTTCGCGGGTCCGGGGATCGGGAGGAGGAAGAGGAGGAAGAGGAGGAAGAGGAGGAAGAGGAGGAGGAGGAGGATGGGGGAGGGGGAGGGGGAGGGGGAGGGGAGGGGGGAGGAAGGAGGTGGTGGTGGGACGATGCCATGGGCGAGGTGCCGTGGTCACTCTAGAGGCTTCTCGACTCGTGCCTATACCTCCCGATCTGTAAGTGTGTGGGGGGGGGGGGGGGCACAAGGCGGGTCCGGCCTTGAAGTAGGCCGAGAAGCTGAGCGTGCCTCGCCATGGGGCACGCCTCTGATGTGCGGCCTCCCGTCTGGCCTCGCGCCTCCTCGCTGCTTCTGCCCTGTTGGCAGCGATGCGCTCCAGCTGGGCGAGGGAGAGAGGCGGGGGAG